TCGGACAGGTAGGATCTAAACCATCTTAAAGCCTGCCCTTGATTATGTGTATTTTAACATGTCATGCGCATCCTCTCTGGTTTTCAAATGTAAATCATCCCCAGCTGTTCACACATTTAAGGCCAGGCCTTTCCAGACTGACCCCTAATGTCATTTTTGCCGACATCCTTTTGACCAACCCCCTGCCGACTACCCTTGAAATAATGTCACAAGAAGTCTCTTTTTTCCCCGCCAGCGTCACACATTTATAACGGCCCCGTCTCTGAACTGTATAAACAGGAAACACGCATCTGTGCTGATATGACTTTGGCTATAGCATTACTCAGCATTTTTGCTTCTCCACCCAAATCTACCAACCTAACTACTTTTAAGTTCTCAAGCGGTGAGGCTTTGAGTATGTGACGCACTGAGAACGTGCAATACGTGCCTCTTAGGTGAATCCCCTTTTTCTTTCACTCAAAGTGGAAGAGAATGAGGAAGAAGGAAAACTGAAAAGGACTGAGCGATAGAATGGAAGGAGGTGTGATCTGAGGGGAAGAAGCAAGAAGGAGAGCCGGAGGAGGGGGTGGCTGTCAGCTGTGCTCTGCCTCACAAGCCTGCCCATAAAGCTTAGCCAATAGGAGCAGAGTGAGGGGGCAGGGCTTTAGCCGTTCCCCATCCTAGCCTCTGCTGCATCTCATGCAAGCGCATTATATGCAGCTTCCCTTCCTAGGCCGAGGAGAGTCAGACATTGGTGTAACGCTGGGAGGGAACACCCCTACAGGCCGGCTTCTCGTTTTACACTTAACCCACGTTGCTTCTGGGCTCTCATTGTTTTGTCTGCCTCACTGGAAAGGATCGTAAGACTTGTCCTTCTCTCTTCTGTTGCTTTTTCACCAAAGAGGTGAAGCAGGATGATAGCGGCACAGCTTCTGGCCTACTACTTCACTGAACTGAAGGATGACCAGGTCAAAAAGGTGAGTTTCATCATTCGTCCTTAACAAGTGCTGCTCAAAACCCTCGTGAGCGTTTGCAAGCTTTTCCAGACGCGTGACAACGGATGACACGGGCCTGCGTTTTACAGCAGAGAGTCGTGAGACGCGCCTCATCTCACGTCCCTCCATCTGCAGCTTCTACGTCACACAATGTGCGACGGCGAGGATGAGAGGACGAGGTATACCCTTGCAAATGACGACACGACGCTGTCGCCATAGGTTGCCGGGTTCATGCTGCAATGTCCTTGAAAGCAGGATGTGGGGCGTCATGGAGTGGCCATGAGGAGAGGAACGATTTTTTTGTGTGTGTGTCTCTGTGTGAAGGTGCTTATTGGAGAGAATGTCTGAGTGGGGGAAGGTGGTCGTGAGCATCAACCCCCTCCCCCGTAGGAAGAGTGTCGGGTTGCAACAGCTGACTAACTGCCTTTGACAGTTTTGACATTGTTTGAATGCAATTGTGGAGGGAAGGAAAGGTGTAAATAGAGCAGGCCTGTGTGTCTCACTTTGAGGATATGCACTCTTCTATATTTTAACTCTGTTAGTAAAAAAAAAAAAAAAAACTTGATTTTAAAAATACCATTTTAAATGTGATTAAATAATTCTACCTTAACTGAATTACTGAAAAATATTTGAGAAATACTTTAATATTAGCACACAGATTTAGATATTAATACATAGGTGGTTTATATATTTACTTCTATGATTAATTTTTCCTAAACGATTAAAAAAATCTATTATTTATGAATATGATTAGATACTAATATAATAAATTTCCCCATTTTAATAATCTGTAATAAAAAAAAAAA